ACCTTGATCATGTAGYATTTAGAGCAACATTTTCCCAAATTCTTTATAATTGTGCAAACAGTTGTATTCTGTTCTTTGATAGAGATGGCCCTGTTTCTGGAGTTCTGAATTGTTGTCTTTAATTAGGTTTTATGAATAAGTTGCAACTTCCTCTTGGGTGTTCTATTCAGTTGTTGTAGCATCTCTAAATTAGGCCAAATGGCATTTGATTGTCCTTGCACTTGYTAACTTGAGTCTGTTAAATTGCTTTTCCAAAGATAAAACAAAGAGTAGATGTAATTAGAATTTTCTTTTGATGTTGTTATAAAGTCTTATCATTATTTGAATGTTTCTGTGACTTGCCTAACAGTAAATGATTAAAATAAATTRTGTGACACTTTTACCTTACTRAATGATAACTGTTAATGAATTACATAAATTGTGAATAAAAACAGTTAATGAATAATATAAATTGTGAATGAAACAACAATTTTTAGGGTCATTGCAGTATTTTATTTGTAAGTTCCTCATATTTTTTTCCACAAAATTGAAGTAAAAATGCTTCAAAATACAAACAAAAAAATATTGCTTTGGATTTGGATAAAGGTAAGCAAGTAAAATGAAAACTAGATCACAGATTATWTTTTAAATCAATGCAGAAAAATTATTATAAATCTTTTTTAATGTGTTTAAAATATAACTTTATGATATACAAAATGTTTAAAATATAACATTTTGAACATAAGCAAATAGATCTAAGAAAGCACTAAATTTTTTTTCCTTTCATTAGAATGATCTTTTTCCATATTATTAATCTATGTTCTATAATTCTAAAAGAAAAAATATGTATACACATGAAAAATATGTATGTATATTCTTTTAGAACTTTCTAATACACWCACATACACACACTCTCTTATATTTTTGGATGTTAATATTTTTGCCTTCTAGTGTATCCTGAAAAAAATCTTTGAAAATTATCAATTGTGAAAAATATAAAGGCTTGCATAAACATACTAAAATGGTTGTTCATAAATTATAAAATATGGGTGATGGTTATACTTTTTTTACAATGTTAACTRTAAATTATTACTTCTAAATGTGGAGAACTTTATAAAATTCTGTTCTGTTTCCCAGTTTTCTGTTGTCAAATGTATCTATAAGAATTACCATTCAGATTAAAAACAACTTGCACAATTCCAATTGTTTAACATTGGTTTAATTAGTAGTTACACTCTGGATAATTAAGCTGGAAGTGATTCTTGGGCTCATCAAACTTCACAGAAAAGATCTCTGTTTGATTTTTCTGCCCTGCTTGTGGATGGAGAGAGCAATAATATGCTTTCTACATATTAGCAATCCTTAATGTAAAAGATGTAAGGTCTTAAAGATCACAGCCCACTAAAATGACAGCTTTAAATTCTGTAGGGTACTTCATACAAGGTTAGTTAAGAACTAATATTTCATGAGAATGTTTCAGGACAATTAAAATAGGGCAATTACACAAGTGACTGCTTCTGGTATGGCTCTTTGTTACTTGACAGAAAAAAATATCAGTGAATGAATTTCTAGGGAGCCATCATCTTTGAGATGATATGGCATATATGCTGTGTTTTATTCTGCTTAATGCAACTTTTAATATGTTGAGATATGTTTTAAGGCACTAAAATGTAAGAGCATACACAATTAGAATAGAAAATGTGGGTAATGGAATGCTCTGTCATGTGTGTTTGTGTGTATAGCACATTAGATGTCTCTTCAAAAATTATTGAAACACAAAACTGTGACTTGAGCATATTTTTGCCAACTCTATATAACTACCTATGTAAGTACTTTTTTCCCCCTTTGGTTTGTATTTAGATTGAATCTAGGATTATTCTGCATCTTTAAAGTCTTTTACTAATTAAGAATCAAAAGAAATATTTTTGCAAAACCTTTATTCTAATGACTAGGTAACAAGTAAAAGAAAATCCCACCATATTCATAATTAAAATAATATCTCTTAATCATTGGCACAACTACAATGGTATTTTTTTCTTCTTTCTCAGTTAAGTGTTTAGAGTCTGAAAAAAATCATATATATATATATATATATATATATATATATATATATATATAATCTGTAGGTGGTTATTATTTAAGTTGATTCTGCTTATGATTTCTAAGTTCTTAATGGTATTATATTAAAATAAGCCAATATGCACTCTCAATCTTCATTTTGAAGGCTTCAGTAATTCTTTAATTAGAAAAATTTTCTTTGTACCAGTATCTTAGAATCCTTGTGCCATTACACATATGTTCAAGGACAGTTTCCATTAATATCAGGGTTCTAGATAYTATAGCATTGAAAGTGAATGATGAAAACTAAAAGAACATTCTGGAGAAAATCTATTATATAAACAGAGATTAGAAGATCTAGAAAAAATGAGTTCTGGAGTCCCGCAAATTGTCAGTGCTTACACATCTCTGTTTAACATTTATCTACTTATCAAAAAGCAAATTCTCTGAAGCTTGTAATTAGTTTATTGCTCCACCAACTAGGATGATACAACTCAGCAAAATGTACAACAGAAACATTAAAACTTCTTTTAGAGACTTGTGTTTCTTYAGAAAGAAGAAAAAACGTGCAATTGGTATTTTAGTGTCAAATCTCTAAGACAAACTAGGGTTGAAACTATTAAACTAAACTAAACTATCACACTAGAGTTGAAACTATTAAAAGCCAGTAATGGAGAAAGTGGGGACTGAGAAGGACTGTTTACCACTGAGTGTTCCTGAGTGCTCCCTGGCAATGGCTGCTCCCTGTGTGCTCTCTTCCCTCCCTCCAGCTCCCATGGAAATGGAGCTGCTGTTTATTGAACTGTTTTCCTGACTCAGATCTGAGTGCCTCAATCCCACGCTTTGCCTGGCATGGTGGCAATTCTTTAATTAGAAAAATTTTCTTTGTACCGGTATCTTAGAATCCTTGTGCCATTACACACATTACACACATTACACACATTACACACACAATCATAGCTACGTGTCTAATGAACAGTAACTATTCCATGTTAACTTTGAAACAATTTAGATCCCATAAAAGATGTCAAGATTGCCTCCATGCTTTGTCCTTAACTTCTTCCATTTAGAGACAGCAATGAATACTTTCAAACTCAGTTTTGGAGACAGTATTTATTTCATAATTTACTTTAACTCAGTCACCCAGTATGCTTGTTTGAAGTAAAAATAGAACACTGTGATGCTCTTTATGCTTTTTAAGACCCATTTACCTGGGAGAAAGAGTTCTGTAATTTCCTTTATTCTATAGTATTAATAACAATAAGATCTATAGCCCTGAACAAATATATATGTTTTTATATGTATATAACCTATATATAAATTTATGTAAATATGTATATGTAAATTTAGGATATGTATGTGTATACATATCCTAAATTTATTTCTGAAATATGATTAAATCTGACCATATTTAAATGACTCAGAGATATATTAATCTAGACTAGAAATCAAATGAAATAAGTCAAGGATTAAACCAATTGACAGATCACAGATATGAGTTATGTGAATTATTTTATGTCCAGTGATATAAAGCTATGTTCTGCTAAATAATCTGCTTCTAATATTAATTCATCATTCATTTAAAAATCTTATTAATTTGATTTTATTTGTCTATTATGAAATTTTGGGATGCTATTTCCTCTTCCTTCCTCAGGCATAAAAGCCCAAATTTTTATTATAAAGATAATATTATGCAAACATTGGTGATTCCTAAATTCTTTGTTAATTTCAGGTTTAATAAGTCTCTTTCAATGTATTGACAKAGGTTTTTTTTTTTTTTTCTTCATCCATTAAAACATTATCTGTTAACTTTGGTGAAAAACATAATAAAAGTCTGTCAGGAACTTGTGGCGTGTACATTATAGGCAACTCAGAACTTGATTTTCTTGTTTCTTCTTGCCTATAGCTATCAGAACTTTTCTTTCTACAGACTAAATCACTCTTTGAACCTGACTGAAAAATTTCTAAACTTTTCTTTTTAAAAATGAAGGATAAAAGCTCTTTTTGATAATTCAAGACTGTTAAGCATAATTAAAAGCTACCAACCAAGATGGTTGGTGCCTTTGACCTTAATCATTTGCCCAAGTAACATTTTGTAAGGACTGAGACTCCCAGTTCAGAAGACAGACAGAATACATGTTGGATTATGGCTATATCACAAAATAGTTTTCTGTCCTTTGACATGTTTTTTAGTGGCTAGGTCACCAAGTTTCTGACTTAAAATTGAGAATAAGTATAAATATTTCATAAGGTCATTTTGAAATTTAAATAAGATAATACTTTTAAAATATTTAGTTTAGTGACAGATGTGTCTGAGCCYCACGCTTGTTAAATACTGTCAACAAATTCACACTCGTCCTTGGTTTGGAGTGAWAACTTATGCGTGTGACACAGAGCTATTTCCAACACCTCATCACACATGTTCATAATGCACCATMATTCATAGTAAACACAGAGACCGGGTAAACAAAGCCTATAAYTCCAGTGTGAAACTCTGTTGACATTATTATGAGAACTTTTTCCCCTTGRGCATAATTTATCTATTATTGTATACCTTAAAAGAGAAACAAGAAGATTGATAAATAAAAAAATTGGGGGCTGGGGATGTGGCTCAAGTGGTAACACGCTCGCCTGGCATGCAYGGGGCTGGGTTCGATCCTCAGCACCACATAAAAATAAAATAAAAAGATGTTGTGTCCACTTAAAACTAAAATAAATAAATAAATATTAAAAAATTCTCTCTCTCCTCTCTCTTAAAAAAATTGATTGTTCTACATAATTCTCTTTTAATAACATTTTTAAGGGGGCTTTGAAAAATACTTAAATYTCAAAATTCTCACATTGACTCTGTTAGCATGATTAATATCCATTCTTTAGTATCACACATTTACTTCTTTAATCAAAATTATAGGTTAGAGTGTTGTAGATATTCAGATTCTGACACACCTTGAAATGTTTTACAGATTTATTGGCCAGCCACAAAGGAGAGAGTGGAATTATGTAAATTAGCTGGGAAGGATGCCAATGTAAGTATGAAATTTTATAATTATCTTTGTTAAACTAGTACTGATATGATAGTAAATATTTACACTCACTTTTATTGAAATAATGACATAAGTGTATTATTCATTTATTTACATACTAGAAATTTAACCCAGTAACATTCTACCACTGGGCTACTTCCTCCGCCCCCCCCTTTTTTTTTTTGAGAAAGGGTCCCACTAAGTTGCTTTGGACCCTGCTAAATGCTGAGGCTTGCCTTCAACTTGGAATCTTCTTGCCTCAGCCTACAGAGTTCCTGGTATTACAGGTTTGGGCCACCATATTCAATTAARTGTCTTTGTTTTTTCTTTTTTATTTTGTACCAGGGATTGAATCCAGGGAAGCTTTACCACTGAACCACATCCCTAGAACTTTTTGTGTTTTTTGTTGTTGTTGTTGTTTTTGAGACAAGGTTTGCTAAGTTGCTTAGAACCTTGCAAAGTTGCTGAGGCTGGCTTTGAACTTGAGATCCTCCTGCTTCAGCCTTCTGAGCTGCTGGGTTACAGCTGTTCACTACCATACCTGGCTAAGTGTATTATTTTTAAGATAATAAASTAATATTCTCTATAAAGATTGATGTAATATAAAATATTTCTACCTTACCAAAAGCACTGATGCTTCTTATAAAAATCCAGAAATTTAGGGGTTTGTGGCTCAGCAGTAAAGTGCTTGCCTAGCAGGCRTGAGGAACTGGGTTCAATCCTCAGCACCACAAAAAACAAATAATAAAAAAAGGTGCTCATCTACAACTTAAAAAACAATTTTAAAAATACAGAAATTTAGAAATGCTATACTTTCTAATGTATCTTCAATATTATTTTTATCACAAAAATATTAGAAGCTATTAAAATATTAAAAAACAAATCATCAGCAAACATTAAATTTCAAGGAATGTGTTTTTTAAAAAATGTATGTACATGTATTTTGTAAACATACAAGTATCAGACGTTTAATATCATGAATATACAATTGATTAACTTTATTTGAACTGAAATTAAATTTACAGCATATATTGTGACAGAGATAACAAGCAAATTTGGTGGAAGAAAAATGAGTTGAGAATGAATGACACAGGATTCTGGCATAAGAATTARAAATAACGTACTCTAAAAATTTACTTAATAATTATTACATGGAATAACTCATAAAAGATAATTAGATGTTCTTAATATAAACCTCTAGCTTAAACCACCCTAAGAACAAGAACAAAACCCTGTTCAGGAGTCACCGTGTTCATTTTCAGTTCAGTCTTGCCTGGCTTGCTTTACACTATGCAGTTGTCCTGTGTGCTCCCACACTGAGTCACTTGTTTTACCTCCACATTGATTGACTCCTCTCCTCATCTGCATGCTCTAGTTCAGGCCAGATGCTCTGTGTTTTGTTTTGACTTCTTGTACTGTGTAGACGAGGAGAATTATGCTTTTTAGGTAAAATTAATCACCACCTGAATGTAACTCAAGATGGGAAGAGGTTCCAATGTAGGACAGAAACATGGACATCTTGAAGTTTCTTCTGCAACATCCTTTAATGTTACCTTAACCACAATAACACAAGGATCTCAAGTGGAGCTTGGCTTTCATATTTAATAAAAAACAAATTGTTATATGAAAGCAAAAATTAGATTTAAAAATTATTAATGTGATAGACATACAACAATAGGGTATTTGATGTCTAGTGAATTGAGGAGATGCTCGGAAAATTATGATTGTCAGACAACAAGCTGGTTCACCATTTGCTCATTTGTTTAGTCAACAAACAATTTTAAGGAGCCTGAATGTATGTACAACTATATATCATCTATGTATGTATATATATGAAATTGATAAGGTAGCTATCCTCAAGAGTCTTTCTACTGGAGGACACAGATAGCCTCAAATGTCTATACATTCATACATAGAAACASTACTAGAAAACAGAATGATCAAACCAAAACAAAACTGATGCTTCTACTTGATTTTGTATTAACATGATATGAAATATGATTTATTCAGGCACATTAATGTAAACAGAAATATATCAGGGATTGTTAGCTTCAAATGCAATGGGAGACAGTTTTACTTTCATTTTTACCAGAAAAGAAAGGAATTAAACTTTTCAAGACTATCTTCTTCTTTATCCCATGACTTCAATGCAGAGACATTGTTCACTCTTATTACATAGCAAGTGCTGGTTCTATAAAAGCATCATTTCTCTATTGAATTTATGAAGGAAAGAATGCTTTGGTTTTGAGAGTTTTCAAAATTATTTGTGGAATGAATAGTAGAAGCATGGTGTAACCATTGTGAACAGTTTTATAACTTGTGTTTCACCAATATTGAGTATTTGATAAAAACTCAAGAAGGAAAGGGATGTTTTCAATTTTCCCCAATAAACTAATGTGTATTTTCCCTTCAATTAGATGAGGAAYAAACACCCAAGGTCAAACAACCAGTAAAGTTTTAAACTGTGACAGTGTTCTCATTTCAACATGCACACTAGGTCCAGTTACATAGTAACTGCATGGCCCCTCTTATTAAGTTAAAGCAGAGAGTGATGAGCCTTCCTTGAGTATGTATGACTCAGTACACTGAATGAATTCATCCAACTCAGTTCTGTTTGTGAGCTAGTGCTTACCCTTACCTTTAAGCACTTCTGCTAAAACAGGATTAGAAATCTAGGAAGCTTTCCTCTTTTCACAAATCCTTTAAAATCTGATGTTGATTCATGAAGACACAAGTCTTTATCTCTTCCTTTTTAATTTGTCATTGTATTTTAGAGTTCCTGACAATGGCTAACACTCTCACAGCACTTACCATATTCAAAGTACTGCTTTCAGTACCTTATGCTTCTAATCTCATTTAATCCTTAAAACAACACTATATGCTATGCTTTATTATTATTCCATTTTCTCCAGATGAGAAAACTAAAGCCAGGGAAATGAAATCACTTGCCCAATATCACACAGCTGGTAAATGTAGAGCCAGGAATTGAATCCAGAAGTCTGGCTGCACAGACTATGCTCCTACTTTACACTATAAATCTACATACAGGATCTGAAACCTCTCTCTCTCAAATCATTTCTCTCTCTAATATCACCATGATACAGGTCCTCATTTCGAACAGTATTGCACAGATGTTGACTAACAGAAAACTGAGACAAGGCTGTGGTTTTATGGACATCTTTTATTACTGTTGGCACTACCCTTTCTCCTTCTTTCTCTCTAGTAATTTTTACCTACTTCCCAAGAGTGCGTTTAGGATTAACAAGTGTTTGGAAAGACTGTCGCTTAACACAAAGGTACTATATAACTGCTAAATAGTGAATTATTTACTATAATGAAATTTAGCTAATTGGGATGGGGAGGCAGTGGAAGATGAAAAAACAAAAGGGAACTATTMCACATTCTTTAACATGGTCCCACAGTTGAATCCAGGGAGAAGAAGGAGAGACAGAAAAATATTTGGCAGAATTTTGCTTCTATTAGAAGGTTATTTWWAAAAAATCAATAAAGAAATGTCTTTAGTCCTGACTGTACGACTTGGGTTAAACAGCTCAGTCCAGGCAAAAGAAAGGACAGAGCTAGGAGAGCCTGKCTCTGCTTGTCAGCTCAGCTTCAGAGAAGTGCACAGGCTAGCTGTGGAGAGATATTACAGAGATGGGTGACCTGCCAGCTCCAATGTTCTGTGGTCATATTTCATTTTTTTTGTTTTAGTTTTTCAGAAAATCTGAAAACAAAACACAATATTTATTTTAGAAAGTTTGCAAATTATATACAAAAGGGGGGAAAAGTCACTTGTAAATACTGTCTCCCCCATAAACACTACCCAGAGATAGCTGGTGACATGTTGGTATTTATTCTTCTATCTTATCTATTTACTGTTTTGCAGAATGAAATCATTGTATACATAGTCCCTGAAAACGTTTTTTTCCACTTTGCAGACTACCATGAGCATTTTCCCATGTCGTTAAATTCCTTTTTATAACACCACTTTTAATAGCTACACTGCATTCCATTATGTACTATTTYATCAATCCTCTATTGTTAGAATTCTGGTGCATATCCAGTTTTTATTATTGCAAATGATACTGCATATGAAAATCCTTAAATATAAACATTGAGAAGATCTTTGATAATCAAGTGGACTTTTATTAGTTAAAAACATAAAATTTTTACATACATATTGCTAAATTTTTCCCTCCAGAAAGTTTATGTCTCATGTGTTCTAACCAGCAGTATATGATTTTGAGAGGGTATATTTTTTTCACTCTTGCTATTATTGGATACTGAGCAAATGAATATTTATTACAAATATATAACAACGTATATTGAATCTTTGCCAACAAAGGGAAAAATATTTTCAGTTTTAGATTGAAATCCTTTTATACTACAAATACTAATTATTTTATATACTTAGAAAAAGTATTTTAAATATCATATCCCTTTTGTTTACTTTTCCTTACTTATTATTTAGATTTAAAAATATATATATATATATATATATATATATATATACACACACATGTATATGCTAGTGTATGTGTATGTGTATGTGTGTGTGTAATAAAGCATATAACTAATATGTTTTCCACTCATGGAAAAATATTATTTAGCAGTTTTCTTTTATGAGGACTACACTTTCAATATTTAAAAAGTCTTTTTCTTTTAAATATTTTCCTTTGCTTTTTAAAAAATGACCAATTATTCCTCTGTAAAAATGTTCACTGTTACATCTTCCATTTTTAAGAAAGAAATTGTGATATTTGAACTTTTATATAGTTATTTTAAAATGCTGACAATTTATTAAAATGTTTAAACATTCTGAGAACTAACCAGCTATCTCTGCATACAGGATCATGTCTGAGAATAGCACCCAATTAATGATCCAACAAGGTTCAATGATCACAATATTCTACAAAAATGTTAAAAATAAAAACATACTTTAAGAGATTTTGGTCATGTAACTCAATAGTAAAGTGATTGCCTAGTATGCATTATGCCCTAACACCATGAAATATATATGAAATATATATATATATATATATATATATTACATTTATATTATATATTTTTTTAAAGAGAGAGAGAGAGAGAGAGAGAATTTTTAATATTTATTTTTTAAGTTTTCGGTGGACACAACATCTTTATTTGTACATGGTGCTGAGGATTGAACCCGGGCCACACGCATGCCAGGCGAGCACGCTACCACTTGAGCCACATCCCCAGCCAAATTTATATTATATTATATATATTTAAAACATATATATTTTACATCTATATTATATATATGAGTGCATACATACACACATATAAAGAGAGATTCTTTTTATTTTTAACCATATAAACCTATATTGGATTTAACTAGACTCCCTGTAAGTCTCGAGAATTRCAGGTACTTCTGTTTGCTAATATCTTTTTTGATAACTGAGGAGAAACTAAAATTCTAAATGTTCATGCATTGACCACTTGTTTCTGCAAATATTAATTTAGTTTTATATTAATTTTATTAATTTTACATATAAAAATGCATACAACATATTAAATATACAACATTAAAACATGTAATGTTACTTCAGAGAATTTAAATATTAATGCATGGTTTTGATCCTTTCTCTCTCTCTCTCTCTCTCCTCTTCAACAAATGGGGTGGTATGAGTAGAAAGGAGAGAATAGGTAGGAAGAATAGGAAAGATACAAGTTTAATACTTTTCCAAAGCTGAATATATTACTTTCTAGATTGTTTGGTTACATGCAGCTATTGTGGGCAATAGCTAACAAATTAGCCAGCTTTCAGGGAAAGTTATAAAAGCTGATTCTCAAAAGTTATCTTTCTTCATGCCTCAGAGAATTACCTTACCATTAATAGCCATGCAAGTTGCTAAATGAATTTAAAAAGTTAATTATTGATTAGTCTATTTAAGTAAAACTTCGAAAGTTATGCATGCTAGAAAAAAGAGTATGTACTCTTTGAGTCTAAAAAAAAATGAAGTCATGAATTAAAAGGGAAGTCACTGTAAAGTAATTGCATTTGGCAAGGTTGTTTGGCTAAAATGTCCTGCTCCAGGCCGTTAGAAATCAGAGACTTTATCTTTCATGATCCCTAATCATAGGTTTCTTTTCCTCAGGCAACCAATGCCTTCCACTGCCTCCTGACCAGTTAGGGAACTGCCTTCTGTCAACTTCCCTGGAAAAAAAAAAAAAAAAAAAACCTTTGAACAGGCTTTCTTTTTTTATAAAATGTGTCATATAATTCAAGACTCACCCACACTATATTCTATTCCACTTCAGTCCAATCAGAGAGAGGGAAGGGATTCCAAACACTAATCCTAGGTGATCTCTCACCTTGTGCGGGAACTGGCAAGCTAAGTTACTTTCCAGGGCTGGTTGCATTTTAATAAATAGTCCTAGAAACATTAAAGGTTGAGAAATGTTTTAGGTGTGATTTGTTCTTTTTGTTTTATAGTCACTAAAATATTTCCTATGTGTATACAACTTCATGCTGAGCCTTGTTTCCCTTTTTAACAGTAAGGTTTCTCATAGTCCCTAACTTTTCTGATTTCATTATTTATAATCTGGAAAGGGAGTTGTTTTATTTCTTTATACAAGTATTTCTTTCATAAGTTTCCAAAATTATTATCTAATGACTGTTTGTGTAAAACTAAACTTTTGTAAAAATGATGAAATAGCTCTCAGGGCATCCATCACATCTCCCTTCAGCCATACATTTTTACTCTTTCTCTTTTTGTGTATTTACTATTCTTTGGGTAGATTTTACCCTTGTATGCATCTATTAAGGGAGGAAAGACAAAGAAATAAAAGTCCTGTCAGTGAGCATGCCTGAGCAAAATATGATGGCCTTTTTCAGTGCAGTGTGCAACAGAGCAACTGTGTGCAGGGTGCTGCTCCAGTTAAAAAGTGCTCCATCTATCTACCTGATTTAAGAAATATCCTTTATCTTTGTGGCTACCAGACGGATCAATACTGGTAATTGTATTTCTTAGTTTCAAGCAACTACTGTTTGTTTTTTATAAGGAGGCAGAGAGCAAAACTACGCAATGAGTTTAATGGAATATTCTTTGTGATAGAGCCTGTGGATTTTGTTAAGATCTACAAACTTTTGAGACATAAATTTGCAGACTAGTTGGGTGAAGGAAGGAAGAAACTAGGAACTCTGTTGCACAGATTTGCAGACATAGTTATTCACTCTAAAATCAGAGCAGCCATGGGATATTATATTTTGAATTAGGTTTTGTATTAGGTTGAAATCAGAGTAAGGAATGCATAATTATTAAATATTATTTTTTTCATTTAATCCCGGTTAGCAATCACAACAATCCTATTGGTTAAGTCATTGTCTCTGCCTTTTTAAAATCTTATTTAATTTTAAGAACCATTCTAACAGTTATATCATTGTCTGTTTTTTTTTTCTTTTATCTAATGTAGTCTTCCCAATAGTCCTTACAAGAGTGAGCATTATATCAGTGCCTCACTGGTGAGGAATCCATAGCTAATCAGGAAAGATTGAACTTTTTCAAGAAAAAATCAGTGGTTTCATAGGTTTCTAGCTTCCTTAAATACTCAACTGCCTTGTATGTAGAATTATTATTAAGAATAGAAATGTGCTATCGCCTAATATTTTCCTCAGGGGTCTTTGGTACTAGAAATCATGCAGTCGTGATTAAGAAAAYATTTCCAAAACTTATGTAAAGAAAAGAAATCACCTATGTTTAGGTATATTGAAAATTAATACATAAAAAAGAGTGACTACTCCAGAAAAATATAGAAAACTAGTATTAATTAGTAAATGGGGGATAGAAATTCTAATGGCTTGGAGATACAAACCAAAATGAATATACAATCTTTTCAATGAAATAATATCAAAAAATTTCCCAAACTTAAAGAATGAAATTGAAAGTCAAATCCAGGAGGTTTACAGGACTCCAAATATACAGAATTACAATAGACTCACACCAACGCACTTTAAGTTCTAAAAATGATGAGGATATAAATAAATATTTTATATATATATAAGCATATTCAAAACAAGAAGAGATATACAAGTCTTAAAGCATGTCCATGGGAAAAGCAGAAGAGACCATTGAAATCAATAGGAAACAATCTAATTTTTAAAGACTTTGTAGCATTTGAAAATAAATGGAAACAAGTATAGGGCATTTTGATCTATATGAATGAAATACATATCTGTGTCTAGTGTTGTGTTCAGTATAGCTGCGACAGATGGTGTTGCAATTAGAGCCATGTAGGATAGAGTGTTAACACTAGAGCATAATGGATGCTCTTCTTTGTGTACTTGAAAGAAAGTATGGGTGTCACATTCACATTCTGTGTATATCCATTCTCCAGGTCTCACTGAATATCACTATAAAGATTTTCATTCTAACATTCTGATTAGTTCAAAAGTTTTATAATTGTAAGGAGTCACTCTGTTAAGCCATAATTTCCACATTTGCCCTATCTTTTTTGTTCAGTTAGACATTTAAACCTTGTAATAAATATTTTTATTTTTTAATATTTAATGATTTATCTACTTGCAAAAACAGGTGATACGAAGGATAATCTTTCAAAAACTTGAGCCCTGTGCTAATGCTT